ATATATAGAACAAAAAATATTTTATTTATTTATTTTTATGATTACATTTATCCAATTAACTTTAAATTTTAAACATATGATATTATATATATGAATAAAATATTAAACTAAAGGTTTAATCCTCTTTTTGGTCCCTTGACTTGAATGTTTTGTATTAATTTTTTTCCTCAATTCTTCTTTTTTTCCTCAATTCTTCTTTTTTTCTTTTTTCTTTTTTTGTTCTTAAACTCTAAATTTTTACACCAAACGTGTCTCTCCAACTCTCATCTAACTCCGCTAGTTAAACTAATAGGTTAATTTCATGTTATAAAATTTGAATGACATGGCAATTACATGTAAGGAAAAAAAAAAAGTTTTGATACTGACACTTAGATGCAAAATTTTGTGGTTGAAAACCCAACACGGACTCGGAGGTAGCCAACATGGATATTACCAATGTGAGGTGTTGACATCAAGCTCCTACATTGAATTGTAATTAATTTAGAATCAAACCATGTCGATCCTATAAGAGAAAGTTCTCTCAACGCTTATTTTTTCATTCACAAAAATCGAACTCAAAACTTTATTTAAAAAGAATCGAATTTTTTCCACTCGAACCAATAAGTCATTGGTTTGGATTTTATTCTATTGACAATAAGAAAACACAATCAAAATAAGCATATTTAGCCAGATATTAAAAAATATTGGAGAATAATAACTAATAATATTATTAGATAATGCAAAACAATTTAATAAATTATTATATATTATAAAATAACCAAATAATCATGACATAATATGTTAATGTTTTATTTAAAATATTATTTGAGTTTTAAAATATTATATAATTATTATAATTAAACATAATTTTTAAATAAAATCATACACAATAAATATAAATTGTGTCTAAAAATATTAATTACATGACCGTTACATATCCAAATATTAAAGAATACTATCTAAATCATTAGAAACTTATACTTAATAACTATACTTAAGAAATCTATATGGCAGTCATATGACTGAGAATACTATAAATCATTATACTTAATTTAATCAATAGTTAGCTTTTCTAATTGTACTTTTCAGTCCCAACACTCACCATTAATGGCTTAATTTAATAAATCATCTATTAACTATTACTTTGTTTTCATTTTAGTCTAGATACTTTATTTTCTTTCAAAGTCATCTATTAACTTTCAAAACTATTTCGTTTTCATCTACACTCACATAACTCCGTTAGCTCCGTTAATGAAATTCCACATATGAGGTCACGTGTCGCCATGTAAGCAGCCACATGACAGAAGCAACTTTCTGGCAACAGCATTGTTTCTCCTTCTTCTTTTTTTTTTTTGGTCACATGGTAAGAGCAAATTTCTGGCAGCATTGTTTTTTCTTGAAAATTCAATTTCTCTACTTAAATTTGCAACAGCTTCAGCTTCACTGCCAACGGTGCTGTTCCGAACGGCATGTTGTCGAACATCTGGACTCCTTTGACGAAGCATTTTGTTGGGTTGTCGAATTCGTTCTGTAGAACAGCTTCATATGGGTACCTTACTAGGGAGATGTAGTGGAACCATATCCAGTATAAGCGGATTTGGTTGCGGGAGATGAAGAAGCCGCTGAAGAGGAGAAAGTAGGCGAGGACGGCGACTACTACGGTGAATCCGAGCATGATGTGGGAGACGACGCCGGAGATGAATGTGACGAAGGATCTTCCGGCCCAGAAGGAGGCGAGGATGGTGAAGAAGAAGAAGAGGAACCCATGGAGGTCGCCGGTGAGTCCCACCGTCCAGAAAGGTATGGCGACAAAGGAGATGGAGAGGACGATTAAGGAAGGGATGGAAATTATGGAGTGGGTGAGGACGTACGATGATCGGCAGTAGGCATTGTAAGCAGTTTCTCGCATGAAGATGTAGCGTTCTTGGAGGAAAACAGGGATGGCATCGAAGCAAGTGTAGAAGGTGGTGGACATGGCGAAGGCAAAGAACCCATTTTGTTCTTGAACCCCTTTGGGGGAATTGTCCAAGTGCCAAAACATCGTCGTCAGGATGAATCCGGTGACCAGAATGGCGCCTAATTGGATTCCAAACAGTTCAGGCATTCTTCTTGAGTTCGTCATCGATCTTTTTGCAATGACAATCATTTCATTCAAGAACGGATTCGCAAATGTGGGCACTGAAGAAGTTAAATTGGAATCAGTGGTGGCTCCGGAGACTAATTTCCTCCACGAAACACTTGCACTGATGGTCGGTTTGAGTGAAAGAGTCCGTTCTTCGACGAAATTGTTTCTGGGATTAATTATGTTCTGCCATGACCTGTTGAATTCAATTTCTATACTTAAATATGTATCTTCGTCGGAACTTTGCTCCTGCCATGTGGCCAAAAAAAAAAAAAAGAAAGAGGGACAATGCTGCTGCCGGAAATTTGCTCCTGCCATGTGTCTGCTTACATGGCAACACATGACCCCATATGAAGAATTTTGTTAACAGAGTTAACGGAGTTAAGTGAGGGTAGACGAAAACGAAACAGTTTTTAAAGTTAATAGATGACTTTGAAAGAAAGTAAAGTATCTAGACTAAAATGAAAACAAAGTAATAGTTAGTAGATGATTTATTAAATTAAGCCCACCATTAATGCACTGCTTCCCTCTTATACTATTTGGAAGAAACTACCCCCCGCCCCCCACATGCATGTACAATAGAAAATCTGTGTTCTCAAACATATTGTCACCTCATATAATACAATAATAATATAAAATATATCTCAATCTATATCACAATAAAGTCAAATAAAAATTTAACCACCATCATTCAAATTTTGAATATTTAATAAAAAAATTATTATTTATAAAGGTAATGAGATAAATGCAAAACACTCATTATATATGGAGATCTATGTTCTTTTTCTTTCTACTGGCATGCATCTTAAGACCAAATAACTTATTTTTAACATTATATTTATCAAAAAATCTCATTAAAAATTTCATTAGAAAAAGTTCTACCTTTCAAAGACTACAATCACAAAAATCAGAACCTTAATAAATAAAATTTCAAATATATACCTTATATTCAATAATATTCATGCTCCATTTCTTCTTAAGATCAATGACTCTAAGTTCATAAGACACATAATACATTGATAAAAAAAGTAAAATTTCATGCAATTTCTTTTAGAATCTAGGGTTCATGAAAAAAAAGTTTAAAGATATTAAAGATTTTGTTTTTATATTTTTTTCTCCCTTTTCTTGTCTTCTATGATGGGTCCTACAAATTAAAATAAGTGCTTTGAATGAGCAATAATAAGTGGGCAAGTAGTGAGGTGGGGTAAAATTAATTTGTCCAACTAAGTATTTTTTGTTAGGTGTAATTGCCATGCCATTAAAACTTTAAAAAGATTGAAGTAACTTGTTAGTTTCACTCCCAAGATTACTACTTTTGCTGGCGCTTAAAGGAGGAGATTGCAGACGCTTTTGTGTGCCTGCAAAACCAAAACCAGCGCTTAAAAAAGCGCCTAAATGGGGCCTGCAAATCATGTGTCGAGAAAGAAAGTGGTGGGCGAACGTTGGAGTGCTTGAATGTAATCTAATTTGCAGGCGCTTACTATAGCGCCTGCAATGACATAATTTTAAGGCACTTATAAAGCGCCCGAAAAAACCATGGTGCCTACGACTTAATTTGCAAGCACTTTTTAAAGCGCCTACAAATTAGGTTATTGCAGGCACTTTAGAAAGCGCCTGCAATTATGCTATTTTCAAACACCAGAATTGCGCCCGAAGTTTACTTTTCTGGGTCGAAAAATTATCTTAATTTTCAGGCACTTGACAAGCGCCTGAAATTGAGCTATATAAGCACTCAAAGAAATGCCTAAAATCACTTTTTCTTTAGCCCTGCATACTCTGTTTTCAAGCATTCTAAACTATTTAATTCTAGATTCAAATATGTTCATTCAAGACATGGCAATAGGCTAACAAACAAACAGCATGCAGAAAGCAAGACTCAAATGATAGAGAACCAAAAATATCCAAACTAGAAGCACTTGGCATACTAACACTTTGTCAAGGAAAATTATAGGATCAGAAGTGGTCTATGAAAACCTGGAATTAAATCCCTGAACAGATTTCCTGTTATCAACTAATATGCAGCCATCCCCAAGTCTCATTCTCATAGACGCCGACAAATCTTTGAAATAAAAATTAATTTAAAAGGTTACTTGTAGGATACCATTTGCAGGAAAGCCAAATGTCTACCTCTGCCCGACTTGTGACAACTCTGGTAAGAACCCATTCATCTGTCCCCAGCTTGTTGATGGCCTGGCGCAAAACCTTCTCGAAATATTTTTCAGGACAAGTCAAGCATTTGATGGTAACTCTTAATAATTTGAGGAATTCATTGGGATCTGCTTTCAAATCCTGCAAGCCAGTGTCTGATTGTCAGTTTGAATATTATTCAGTATGTCTACGCATATATGTTTTCTGGCCAAAAAATGTATACGTTGTTAAGTCCTTCAGTGACCATGAACTGCGACTGTTTACTAAAATGGTAACTTTGATCCTCAACTCTTTGAGTTACCGTAGTTTCTCAAATTTAAAAGGCCACTGGACAACCCTATCTGTATTAAAGCCCTCCCATGATTTCCAAAGAGGATTGATGACACATTTACATCAAAAGTATGCATTATTCTACTAAAGTAAACAAATTGGCCACACATTGACTCTGCATATATTTTTTAAAGTTTCATCCTAAAACTTAATGCAGAAATTATTAAAGGATTGTTTTTTAAACTTCTTTAACCGTTGCATATGCCCTTAAGTGGTCAAAAGATCTTGGATGAATAGCAAATCTTCTCTTTCTTAGTAAGGAAACTGCTAAATGATGCGACATTCATGGCATAATTTCATACCTTATTGATAGCATTCCCAAATGCATTATTGTAGTGATTGAGGGTTGCATTTAGCTGTGCCTTACTTCTTGTAGAGATAATCCTGATGATCTCTTCATCATTGTATGCCTTGTCTGAGATCTTCTCATGAAGTATCTTTGCCTCTGATTTTGCTAACATCATATTGACCTCATCTCCCTCATATCGGAATGCATTCACAAGAGGAATCAAGAGCTACAAGGATCAAAATTCATGCAAAGTAATTAACCCCACAAAATTTACCAATTTCAAAATTTCCTTCTTTTTGTTTACTACCAGTCGCCAGCCAATGGTGCCATGTTAACAAGCTTTTCATTGAGCAGAAACTCTGATCAAAGAACCATAATTTGATGACATCTATAATTAATTATCTAGATTTTTTTATCCATATGTTCTTTTACTCAATTTGTCAAAAAGATAATTCAAATGGTAATATCATATTATGCTGTCAAGTATATATTTTACTGAAGGAGAAGGTGGCCTGAATAAGACTACTGGCTTGAAGAAGGCTGGCCTGATGAAGAAGAAGAAGAAGAAGAAGAAGGATTAACATATAATTTTGTTTGCACTAATAATAATTGCCAAAATTTATGGAGAAGGGCTCTCTTATAGCTTGAAATTTTGAAGATGAGCATCAAATATGTCTGGTAATCTACATCCATAATTGCATATATTCCCAAAATCAACATATATAACATATTTGTGGCATGACAAAGCACTATGCGCACTAAGTCTAAACCTAGAAGCACCCTATATACTTGAGAATACCATTGAACAAAATTTGCTTGTGAAACAAAATTTTCCAATTAACATTAACGAATTTCAATAGTTCCCAGACCAAAGAAACACAATCACCAGGAATGGCACATTAAAACAACTTGAATGTCCCATGCCAACATACTTGATTAGCAACCAATATGGCACAATGCTAACTCAGCCATAGTTGAATTAATGGATGATAGGCTTCGGAGGATGTGCTCTAAGGTTTGACAGGTTAAGAGCAGAATCAAGCTCTTCATCAAGTTCATCAATAATGCTTCTGCATGAATCATAAGGATAGATGTTATATTGTAGCATGCTGAAAGAAAATGGGAAGTAACATAAGTTTACCACTCTAACCAGCCTTCTTTTTACTTTCATCACACCTAATTAACAAAAGGGTAAAACAAAGATAAATAAATGGGAATGGAGTAAAAGCTATGATGACACTACATATTATCTCCTCTTATTATGTACGAACCCAACACAAGTTGCTAGACACCTTTCTGCAAATTTCAATGTAGCATGAGTTATAATGATATGAAGAAGTAATAATGATACTCATGCAGTGGACCGCAATCACATTCTCATTCCAAGTAGAGGAGGATGCCAATAAGAAAATTGTTCTCTTATTCTCTTTACCAAATTTATTAGGATCATTTTTGTACTATTCAAGACGTTAGAGCAATCAAACATAGACAAAATAATGAACAATACCTTCAAATTTTTGACAGTTGTGTATACTAGCTCGACTCCAAGTGTAAAGATGAAATACTCACATCCCCACTCATACATATGCCAAGGTGGAAGCATACTTAGGAGTCTATCTCCAGGTTCAGCAGGTACAATTTCCCAAAAGTTATTTGTCTGGAGAATAGTTAACGAAATATTAGAATTTGTATTAGATAGAGTAGGCCAAAAAATATTTGCCTTAAAATGTAAAGGATTAGAAGTGTAATGGATTAGAAATAACTGAATAGCAGCAGCAGCAGTAGAAAGTCAAGAAAGATAATGTTATAGACCTATTTTCTACAGAACTATTTGCTCCATTCCAGAGTAAAATATATGTAAATTAAATGAAATGAGATGATAATGATTTCATTTGAATTGAAACTTTGTTATTGTGTGGACTGTGGAGTTTCCAAAACTAAAACAACATAGAAGCAGTTAGTTAGCAGTTAACCTAGTGCAGTAGATTTCCATGTGTAAGCATAACACCTTTTGGGTTGCCTGTGGTTCCACTTGTATACACAACAGTAGCAATGTCATCTGGGCTGATGGTTTCATATATATACTGCTGTCCTGAGATCACATGAATTAAACTAACTGTTAAAATGATTTCAAACTTCAAAGAAATGAAAATTAGATGCATTCTATTTCTGAAGAAAGATAAAGGTAGCAACCAAAAAACCAAGAACTGATGACAATAAATTATTACCAAATTAATCTTGACCCTTCTTATATCTCTACTATCTGTGTTATTTTTATGCAGCAGGCATCTCAGATTTAATCATCTTAATGAAGGCAAACTCTTGATACACATGCTTAAATACTTCAAAGAAAGAAAAACAAGCTGGCAAATAAAGTTATGATGTGTGTTTACTTGAGAGTGTCAATTATAGATGGAATTAACAGATATCAAACACATATTAAGACCAAGCATTCAAAGATTTCCAACCACTCAAATTATTCTAACCTTGCACTATTGAATTTAGCGGTATAAGCAATGCAGCTTCAAAATCAAGACATTCAAAGGAATTAAGCAGATAATTACCTCCAGTGGTCTTGCACTGCACAGCACCAATCAGAAGCACGTTTTACCTGAAGTTTGGGAGGATCGGCGGCCTATTCAGGTTAGTCTCCATGGGCAGCAGATAATTACCTCTAGACGGTGAGATTTGTTACCAATTACTCCCTCGATTGTTTCCTACACAACCAGACGGTGAGATTCGTTACCTACCTTGACCATCTTATCGCCACCGCCTAAATGTTCAATTCTCAAATTTCAGAATCATAAACAAGAGATTTTGAAAATCTAAGAAGAAGACACAAACCTGGAGTACTTGATGAGATTCGAAGGAGAAGACACAAATCCTAACGCGAAATCAAAATCAAAATGAATATCAAGTTCGAAGAGAAATCAAAATCAAAATTGAAGCTACAATGGCTGGAACCTAATGGAGAGATTTGAGATAACCTACCACAATTGTTTTAGGGTTTCTGCTTACCCAAGGAGAGACTCTGGAAATGAAACAGAGAAATAGCAATGAAATAGAAAAGAATCGAAAGATTGGAAGCGAGGTGATTCTGGGTTTTGGGACAAAAGTAAGGTGGTAGTAATGAAAGAGACTGGTTTGGGAAAATAACCTGGGTTCGGAAAAATAACGCGGGGACTTAATTTTGGAGGGATTCTAACATGATGTCCTCCTTCATTTTATTTTTCAAGTTACAGGCGCTTTTAAGCACTGGCGATGTATAACATTTGCAAACATAAAAATGAAGCGCCTAAAAAGCACTCTACCTCAAATCAAAATTCCCAACACATATGGTAAACGCCTGAAATAAAGTGCAGGCAAATCCCAAGATTCTTGTAGTGTTTAACAAGTAAAGTTGGATGGGAGTTGATGAGAGTTGGATGGAGTAGACGGAAGGACATGTTTGGTGTAGAAATTTGAGGTAAGGGGACCAAAAAAGTGCAGAAAGAAATTGAGGAACAAAATCAGTGCAAAATACTTAAGTTGAGGGATTAGAAAGGGCATTAAACCTATATTAAATTATTCCTTTCATAGATATAGATGTATAAAAAATATATAAAAAAGTATTGTGCAGTTTAAACTAATGAGTTAAATTTATATAAATATTAATGTAAATTTTTTACTTGATTTATTGATATTTAGATGAGTTTTATGAAATTTTACTTGATTTTACATCATTTTCATTTTTAGTGTAGGAAAAGACTTAATTGGAAGAAATCATAATTTTAAAGAGCAAATTACAGAGATAAGAAATATGAGGATTAACTTGATGGAATCCAAAAGTTAAGGACCATAATTGTAATTTTGTCATTAACCAAAATTCGTTAAAAGCAAAAATCCCGACAAGGACTCTTCCTTACTGATACAGTAAAGGTGTCAGTACTTTCTCTAGGGTGTCGACCCCCTTAGGGACTTTCAACAACTCCCGCAGTTATTTAAAATTTTTATGTGGGCCTCACATTTTAATTAGGTTTT